CGTTCTTTTTTTTCGTTCGTTCGTTCGTTACGTATGTCGTATACACATACAGCCATCTCGTCATGCTTTAGATCATTATTTCGTTTCTTTGTTTACATGTCTTTCGCTTAGTAATCAGTTCTTCCGTTAACTTCCATATTTGGCAGTGAAAATTTGAACCGACTGAGAGCAGAGGTAGGGTACGTCACAATAAGAAAATTGATTGAGTTCTGATTCAGGGTCATGCAATTTCCATCTATAATAAGAAGAAAAAAAAGATTTTGCTTCATCTGTCCAAGGCCTTGGAGATATCACGAAATGGTGTACGAGATTTTAAGCTGGGAAATGTTCTTTTATAGGCTTTGGAGACTGATCCTAAAGCAAGAAAACTGTGGTGTTGTCGTGTGTTTCATTAATGGTTGCTCGCCATCATTCACCTCACAAGAAGTTAGTGAGGAAAATTTTTGTCTAAATCGTCAGTGATTATTCGACCAAGTCGACTGAAGTTGATAAGGTCGACGAAATAATTTGGCGTTTTCTTCAACTAGATTGGATAAGGTTTCTTGTTTGACATATCTTCCAAAACTCATTTTCTAGTGCGCTTTGGTCGCCTGCCAGAAGCAAATCAATCCAAGTACTCTTTGCTGCGAGGAAAATCTTCGATATGGATCGCTTAATTGCAAGAACTATAAAATTTCGTAATATCATAAAAACTGACCTTTTCATCTAACTTAAAATGCTTACGATTTCGAGCGAGTGGAATTCCTAACTGCTCTGTGAAACCAACTTATGGCTTCGTTATGGTCCAATCAGGAACAAAATTAAATGCAGCATTAAGTATGCAATAACACTAAATACTTGCAAGACGCCTTCTCTCATTATGGGCAGTGTTGTCTGAAGCTTCACTTCCGACATAAAGCAGCCTAATTGCAGAACAATGTTGTTGGAAAAAATGAAAAATGACAAATCTCAATACGTATTAATTTCTGATATAAACAACGGTCTGCTTCTCGAAGCAGTCCTGGACTTCGACAATTGTCACTTTCTACCTCAGATTTCATCACGATCATTCCAAGGGAATAAATCAGATTAAGTTTCCGACATAAAAATGAACTATTTGGATACTCGCCACAATGCCATTTATTCCTATTTGGCCTTCTTTTTAACCTCCTCTGGGAAATAATATCTGCAATTAAGCTTCTACGTGTACTCTATTTTCTTATTCTTAACAGTGAACTGATCATCCTTAATGTGCGGCAATCAGTTTTATCTCCTACATGTACATCAAAGCAACCGACAACCTCTCAAATAAGAGGGCATAATTGAGATAAATTACAGGTAAAATATCGTGGGATTTTTATTAACGGTTTGTAAAACGAGGCTGGCAACATTCGGAGCTGACCGCTACAGCCAGAGCTTCTGGAAGATTTTTGGCGCACATTGGTTTTGCTCAGGTGGGTCAGAGTTTAAAAGGTTCCTGAAACACCGGCAATAGTAGAACCACGTTAGCTCTGGGGCCTTCATTGATATTTAGCGAACTATGCAATTTTACTTCAGAAGAATTTTCAGTCATTAAGAATTACCAGCTGACTCAAAATTCCCTTTATCTCCAAATATTTTTTGTTACCTTAGTTCAGTTCGAATGAACGACATTTTACACAAGCGCTGGACGGCGCTTGTATGAAAACTTCCAGTCATGCCAACGGAATTTACTTGAACATTTTGAGTGATTATGAAAAAGATTAAGTTAAAATGTCAAAAACTAGTTGGTATTTTGAGGGAAGCTGCAGAAGAGTAACGCAAATGGTTAATTTGTGATATTTGCATCCACAATATTCATGACACAAGCCAAAATGCTATACGCTATTTTCTTAAAAGAGGAAACGTTTCGTAGCCGTGATTCCCAAAATAATAACTCAATGTCGTGGGAAAACAAAAAAGTGAATCAGCAATTTTCCTCTCTTAGTTAATGCAATGGATTCAAAATTTTCTTTCTGTACATGTACTTAAAAAACAGAGATGACTATCACAGTATCTTGCTGAGAATACGACTAACAGTTAACAGTTGAATATAAATTGGGTGGAGGATTTAAGAAACATTCCCTATATCTGACCTCTTTAGTCACTCGTTTTGTTTGCAAGAAATGCCTTTTACCCGGGTGGAGAGTAGTCCATTTTTCTTAGACTACATCCAAACGTGTTTGTTTGCGTGAAACGTTTTCAACGCATTTAGTGAAGGTTTTTTCGTTCTAAAATCCGGAATGATTAAAAGATCGAGTGATAATCGGTTTTGCAAGCACCTGTTCTGAACTGAAATAAAGAGGAATTTAATCTTCGCTTTGAAAACGAATACAATGATGTTATAGATATTTCTTAAAATGGGCTTGCATACTCAACCAAGGCTAGAGAATAGCAAACACGTTTTATCGGTGGAGAGTAGTCCATTTTTCTTAGACTACATCCAAACGTGTTTGTTTGCGTGAAACGTTTTCAACGCATTTAGTGAAGGTTTTTTCGTTCTAAAATCCGGAATGATTAAAAGATCGAGTGATAATCGGTTTTGCAAGCACCTGTTCTGAACTGAAATAAAGAGGAATTTAATCTTCGCTTTGAAAACGAATACAATGATGTTATAGATATTTCTTAAAATGGGCTTGCATACTCAACCAAGGCTAGAGAATAGCAAACACGTTTTATCGCCGTTTACCAAGAATATTGCAAAATGACCGACAAAAAATCAGGCGCATGCAAGAGAAATAAGTGCACTCTAGTTTCGAAAAAGAGGGACATAGGAGGAACTGTGAAATACAGATAGACACAACATTTCTAAGTGTGGAGGTAGAATAATCAGAATAACTCATTTAAATGGTAGCTAAAATGGAGAGGTAATTTAGCTTGAAGGAGAAAAACATCAGGAAGTATCTAATCCGCAGAGAGCTCGATTTCTTCACTGGAGAGCTGAATAAGAGAGAAAAAAAGACTAATTGAGACCAGGTGAAGCTATTTAAATTTCGGAAATGAGGCTTCCCACGAGGAAGGATTTGGCACCGGCAATTGTGATGAAAAGATAGTGCTGAAACTGATCAAAAGATTTCATTTGAATTGCCACACTAGAGAAACAGCCTGTGGCGCGGCAGGATGCTAATGTATGGCGATATCACAGGAAATATAAGTAACTAAGGCTGTTCTTGAAAATAATAAGTAGTTGAAGTGAACGAAACAAAGTCTAATTTCAAATGATAGGCGTAATTTTAGTGTTTGATTGTAGACACACTTCAATGATATCCCTTAAAAGGATTTGCAATTTTTGTTTGGAGATTCGTCTCGCCGAATACAGCTTTGAATCTTAAGTTTGATTTTCATGTAAATTTTCGAAGCCTAGACGTGAAGCACAGTTTCGAAATTAATTTGTCAACCATTTACACACCTCCCATGTGTTGTTTCTTTTAAAAACACATTCGCCAGACAGAAAATATGTCTAAATGTGAAAATAAAATTTTGAGCATGGCGAGCTCTTTCAAAAGGGGTAAACAACTTAATAATAACACCGCATTTTGGAACAGAAATCTAGAAACTTTCTGGTCCGGGAGAAATGTGGAAAATTTGCGTTTATAGTTAAAAAATTTGATTATGGACATGAAACTCTTAGGAAGTTTTGATCAATTTGAGCCTGAATTAAAATAGATTTCCTGATGAGCAAGGAAGATCTGAATACTGATTTGTTGTATTTACATTTTTTAATAAATTTGCAAAATTTGGCAATAAGTTCATATTTGTTAATGAGCAAAGAAATAACAACACCTTCTACTGTTCCTATGTGAAATTTGTGATAATAGTTTTTGGTATTGAAGGTTTTTCTCATCTTTTTCGGAGGAAGTTTTGAACATCTGCAGTATCTACACTTTTTGAGAATCGTGCAAAATTTGTGTCAATAGCTTCAGATTTATGGCAAGGATTTTGCAAACGTCCTTTCTTGAAATCTCAACAATTTGCCGCCTGTAAGGTTCTCTTGGAAATTTGCAAAACTTGTGTTCATTGTATGAAATTTGATGTAAGGCATGAATTTTAAAACACCTCTACAACCCTTTACACCCTAACATCAGTATGCATATTTTCTATACTGTTCTCTATACATTTCCTACGATGCTGACGACGAGATTTGTATAACAATCGAGAGCTTGTAAATAGACTAGGAGAGATGGTCAGTTTTGAGCTTGATAGAGAAATAGAGAAAGATGTTTTTCGTCCTGTCCCGAGTGTGCGACAGAGACAAAATTCTGAATCCCCATGAGGAATCGAACCTCAGACCTTCAGATTCCTCGCTCTAATGCTCTTCCACTGTGCCACAGAGACTCTACGGTGAACGAGGTCTAGTACGAAGTTCATCAGTATGACACACGTCGTGCATACTGCGAGGATCTAAGCAATGTCGATGGCGTCTGTTTGTAAATAGAATAAGAGAGATGGCAAGTCTTTACTTGGTGATCATTTCCTTTATTCTCGTGACCTTAATGCTTGATTCTGGAGTTACATTATAAGGAGAAATTAGATGCAAGTCATTCGAAGGGGTTATGGGGTTGGCAGGAAGTTCTGAGAGATTTGCAGCCTTTGTGGTCTGATGGAAACGTGTTAAAGTTGTGATAAAAATTTTGAAATCTGTTGATGAGCAAGCATTGCCATTGAAGAAAATTTGCAAAGTTTTTGATAACTGTTTATAATTTGTCGATGGGCAGAAAATTATCAAACGTCGGGAATACCAGTTGGATTTATGAAAAACCTTTCTTTTCGTTATTCCCGGCAATAAACTGGCTCGACCTTCCGGCGACAAACCATTTTGATTTAACATTGCGCCTTTAACTCTAGATAAAAAAAATTTTAAGTGAAATTTTTATTTTTTATTTACCACCAGAGAAGAAAAACCATACTCTGATCGATCTTTTCGCTTTGGCACCAATCAGCGATTTCAAAGAAAAGTTAACCAGAAGAAGAGGATTAAACGTAGCTTTGCAAATTGGAAAATCATGAGCTATCAGACTGAAAAGGGCGAAAATAAGACTGACTTGGGTGAAAATATGGGTTCTGGGAACCAAGATTATGGCATTCCTCTCGATACAATTCCTGCAATTGTGATCATGGTATTGATCCTGGTTATAAACAGCGGTGTCATCCTCCTTATCAGCTACTACTCCTCGCTAAGAACCTCAAGTAATATCATCCTGGCCAGTTTAGCCGTGTCAGACTTCCTGGTAGGTTTGGTTGGTATTCCACTGCTCGTGGCATGCAGTTCCACACTAATATCTTCCATCTGCGTAAGTTCCTACACCTTTTTCACATTTATGGCCCTGTCTACCGTGCTTCACATCACCGTAATGACTTGTGATCGTTACATATACATCATGTGGGCACTACGTTACTGCGAAATTGTTCGTCGTGGTAGAGTCCTGACTGTGCTCGGGTTGACCTGGTTTCTTAGTCTTAGCTCTTTGATTCGTCTTTGGTGGACGTGGAATATCAATGTGCAGACAGCTGAAGAAGACTTGGCCCCTATGCGTCAGAAAGAAACCATTCTATTCCTGTTCAATATTGTTATGTTCTTCCTCGTTCCTCTGATTGTGATGATAGTTCTTGACGTCCACATGCTGTTATTGCTGCGGAGACAATGCCAGAGAATCGCGCGGGAAAATTTACCGACGGAATTCGTAAAACGCGAGAAGAAACTCCAACGAAGACGCCGAAGGGCTGTATTGACTTGCGTATTACTACTGACACTTTACGTTATTTTCTGGCTACCATATTTCATTTTAGAAATCTTGCAACAGAATCATCAGGGTCAGTTGCCGAAGCAAGTGGTTATCATTATTTATTACTTAAGGATTTGTACATCCGTGTTCAATCCGTTGACATACACTTTGAGGAAATACGACTTGAAAAAGAAGGCTAAATACATCATCAGGAAATTTTTCTGTTGCAGGAATGAAAATGATTCACCAGAAAAGTTCGTTTAATTATGCAAGACAAGGTTATATAATCATTCTCCAAACACCGATAAAAGGACTGTATTCCTTGCGATTTCATCCCAATATTTCATGTTCTGTTTTCTTATTTATCTTCATTTATGCGAAGCGGAGAGCTATACAAATTTTATCCTTCCGCGTCTTCCCTGAAATTCCGTCAACCTATGGGTATAGCCATTCCTTTTCGTTCTTATTAAATTTACATTTTCATGAATATATTTGTGAAACCTAGGATTAATGAATGTTTGCTAAAGGTTTAGCAATGTCATATTTAACGTTAGTCAGGCTTTGAAGCGCAGAACCAGTCAGCAAAGGTAACCAACTTGATTTTGTGGTAAGATTTATAACGAATCGCTTTAATCTAAAACTTATTATTTGTAGAGGTGCCTGCACCCAGAAGTTTCTTGTTACTGCAGCGACGCATTATATGCGACTTATCGCTTCGAAAGGCCTTTGTAATACTTCCCTCTGATTACGAGCGACATATGGAGAGAAAAAGTTCCTATCACGAATATGAATATTTCATGTCACAAGAGAAGAATATTCTAGAGGGGCTTTCATATGCTGCCGGGCCCTGTCTTTTTAGGCATCTTGGAGTCTAATGTCTAGTTCAAGAATGACAATGGAATAATGTATTTATATTTAACGCTTCAAGATGAAGGCTTCATGTGCTATAGTTCAACATGATAAGAGTATCTGTAGATAAGATGGTACAGTAATGGTCAAAACACCTGAATTATCCCCGTATCCCCCAGGAAACAAGGCGGCAAATCAATAAAATTATCAAATAGATATATGTGTTATTTTAAGTTCTTCACTTATTATGTATGATTAGCAATGAATGCCATAGATCCAGAGATCCAACGCGGAAAATATTAAATGAATAAACAAATAAAGCTAAAAAAAATAAAGATAAAAGAAAAATGTCGCTCTCTCGTTCGGAAACAAGCTTTGAACCTTGAAAAATTGCCAAAGCTTCAGAGGTATCAATTTGGCAGACAGGGTTGCCTAAACTTCTGATAGACCAGCCTACTATTTCGATGTAAAAAAAAAAAAACGTTGCCACGTCAAAAAGAGAAGTTGTAGAATCCCCTTGATCATCTCTAAATTTGGTTATCTAGACGCATTGAGGTTTTCTGCTTCGTTGAGGGAGTCTTCCGCAAAATTGTCGCGAGATTTTTATGGTGAAATGCTTGAAATCCTTCAAGGAAAACACTCAGAGCATCCCAAACAGTGGCGAAAGCTTCAATTTTTTAATTCAGATATCTGATATCAATTTTATGTAGATATTCACCGTGCAATTAAAAACAAGATGCGACTCATTAGTAGACTATAACATTAGTTTCCTAGCAGTAGGCTGAATCAATATATATTAACAGGAGACAAAGATTCAACGTAACTCATTCACACGGAAATTCATTAGGTTTATTTGAGGATGTGTGGTCTGCAGAAATTGAAGTGATCTCTCCATTTATTAGCTATACGGAAACTGCTTTAAGTATCACCCGCCTACCTCAAGTTTCTTCGCTGTTGTCCACTCTCGTGAGCCTCGGAGTCCTTCTTTGAGAAGCTGAAGTGAACCAAAGTTTAGCAGGCGGAAACTGGCTCGATCGAAGTAAAAAGGTATTCTTTCAAAAATTATATTTTTGCAGATTATAAAAACTGTTCCATTTTCTGTTTCAGTATTTCAACGAATGCGACCAAAAACAAAACAAAAGCGAAACGATGGTGGACAAAAATACCCAATTATCATAATTTGTAATGAGATTCACTTACTTATGGTTAAATTTCACTGAGAGAAATTTTAATGAATACCATCGACCTTGAGCTTGATTCACAAATGACCTTATCAAATGATTTTAACACAACATAAAAGGGTCCATCAGAGAAAATTAATAGACATGTTGACTTGAACTTTCCTCATGAAGTATATTGCAAAACTAAGTTCGGGTAAGAAGACGAACGACATAATTTATATGGTAAATATTAAGTCCTTACATTTTAAAGATACGATCTTCCATTTGAAAAATACCTTCTCAATGTTTTACGAATTTATCAGACTCAAGATGTTATTTGTTATCATCACGTGCTTGAATATTAATAACCTTGATAATTTTATGATAAATTTAGTGATATCAGTACTAGCAGGATATTGGGCGGGAATATAGGATCAATGGTTTCAGATCAAAGAAAAACTCGCAAATTACCACCTTGAAAAAAAGAAAAGTAGCCAAAGAAAAGCCAGCTATATCAAGATTTGTGAAAATTTCATCGCTTCTCGGTTTTTTCTTCATTCTTCATTCTTCAACTTAACCTGCGAAAATACCTCAGATTTACACGTATTAGTGGAGCAGAACTGTTTTTTTGACTCCGAAGATGTTAAAGGACAAGGTCACTCGGAAAATTGCATATCTTTTGTAACCACCAATAAATAGTTTACACAAAGCCAAGTTAGTTGACGTTTTTTTTAAGCTTCCAAAGTTGCTCCGATCCTAATAAAAATCCACTTCAGAGTAGCCAACGCGCGCCACCATTTTGAATAGCTAATTGCTTAGATGTGACGTCAAACCGTCTAACTTTTTGTTTAACCCCCCCCCCCCCCCCACGTGTTTCGACTGTTTACCTTTCGATAGTAGTCATGGCGGCTCTTAAACAGTATCGTTTCAAGTCGAAACGAGCTCAAAATGCGGAAGAAAACAATGACTGGTAAAGTGAGTATTCTACTAGAAACTATAGATAGCTGTTCTTGTAGTAAATGTCAAGTGCTACTATCGTCGAGAGAGTGCATTCGCTGTCAGAAACAACCAGATTTGGAAAACAAGATGGATGACACAAATACATATAGGAAAGATCGTCGGCCATAACGAATGAATACTTTTCATGGAAAGTGGCGTCTTTATGTTATTAGAGTTGAAAATTCCACATGTAAGAGATTAGCTGACACGAAGTAGATTGGTATCAGTGTACTTTGTTTCCACGTTTAATTTGCTACCGGGCAAAATTCAAGGGTTTCGAGTATTTTAGAGAAGGAGGAATTCCTAGCTGTGTGCTTAAATCAAGCTTTGTTACAACTGCGATAGTGGGCTTCTACGACTATAGTAGATCACCCATGCCTTCGCCAATGCAGAATCGGTAAGAGCAATGCTGATATTAGTCGCATTTACTCCAGGATACATGATGTAGTATACTTTCTCATTGGTGTTATGTTTTTTCTCAAATTAAATGAGACTGTAAAGTCTGCTATCATTCTGACGTGAAGCCGTTTGAATCTTAATTTTGACAGCAATCGGTTGTAATAGTCCAATGACGTTGGTAAAATAGTTATGTTATTCGTCACCAGATGGTTGCAAGCGTGAACGATCTCTTACTCGATTGGCTCATTGCAAATAATGGTGATACCTTAAGACATGTTTTTTTGGCTCGAATGGCAAATAAACTCGACAGTAGTTTGAATTTGTGCACTAAGAACAATGGAGATCTTAGGATGTCACTAAAAAATAATTATTAAAACAAAAAATAAGTTTTCCATTAGCTTTGGCAATGAACTGAAATAAATTTACAATTAACTCAAAACTGTTTAAAAGGGAAAAACTGTTTAGATAAACTACTTTTAGGTAACACTCATCTAATTCTACACCAGATGGTTGTAATGGAACAATTTTGCTGTCCTCTTATTTGCTCCCTTCAAAGTGAAGTCATAAGCATTTAAAGAAAATAGTTATTGGATTGTGAAATGTTTTTCTTATGCAAAATACATGGCATCCTCTTCATTTTTATTGCTCGTGCTATCATGGAACGAGGTTATATATTTAGCGACTCTTCACTTTGTTTGGGAATAATCAATTTTCAACAGAAGGAAAAAGTTGAGAAAGGTATTATGATCATCTTTTCTGTTTTCTTCTGGTATCGTTCGGATCACAAAAACATGTTTCATTTTAGGCCTATTAGTTGTTTAATTCAGTTGTTAAATTGTTGATGATGCGCTTTGGAGCTGTGTGTAATCAATTTCCGCTGACCCATTTTATTTCGACTCAGCCGATTGAATTGACCGTGAAACACTTTGGAGAATTACATTGCGCATTTTTTTTTTGGAATTATTCCATTTTAAATGTTTTCGTAGTCATCAGCAGTTGAAATGTGTTTTACTATGAGGTTGAAAAAATAAATCTTATTGTTTAAAATTTAAGGGAGAAAGTCGAAGTTAAGTAAGACTTGACACCCAATAAAATATTCGGTTTTCGAAAGTACCGGAGGGGATATATTTATCATTGTTTAGGGTTCATTGGTTTGAAAATAAAATGGGCCAATGGGCGAAAAGAAAAACAAGTAAGCAACCAGATGGAAATTTTGAAGCAACGAAGGATCATCGCCTTTTAATGAATTCTGCTTTTTTAAAATATGTGCTTCAGACTGAAGTTGATACCCCGTCGCAAGTTTTCCGTACTTTCAAGCAAAGGTGGTTTTCCGGCAAGGTTCGCTTTTGGTTAGAAACAAAAAGGCGCTAAGACGTTCGTTTCTACTCTCCATTTCATAGTTAAAAGTCGGTTTTATTACTTTTTTGGAATTCACTGGTTTATTGAAGTTACAGACAGGAATCTATAATGAGAACGGAGTTTTCGTCTCTTTGCCATGATCACAATAGCATCCACGGGTTCCAACTAAGAACGCATGACTTCCAATCTCTTGAGATGTTTTTAATTATCACGATATAGGATTTCAAAAATAAATGCAGACGTGATGGGGATCAATTTGTTTGTCAACTTCTCGTGCGACTTGTTCCGATGCCGAATAACAAGATGTCGCGCCCACAATTTTCTTGCTAAATTTTGGTTTGACACATAGGGTTTTATGGCGAGATAAAGTTACAGGATAAAAACGTTTATGATTCACCGACTCTTTAGAGCTGTTCATACTTTGTTCTCAACTTAAAATTTGGGTTTAGATAAAAAGGTCCTTTTCAAAGCAAAGAGTATACGCAAACTGAAAACTCC